TTCCTGTGGTTAAAATTTAAAGCTAAGGAACATCTAGACAAGAGGAAAAGTCAAGTCTAGAATGACCATGACATAACACCTGGGAGGGTTAACAGATGCAGAGCACTTCATTTTATGTTTTGCTGAATGACAGTGTCCCACAGGAAAAAATAAAAAATAAAAAAGATTAATATTGAAAGATTTGGGATAAATTATCTTTACCATCCATAAATTGGTATTGGATAAAACAATCTATAAAAATAACCTCTTAGCAATCGGTGGTTGTTTACCTCCCCAAGGCCTGTTGATAAAATATTTTTTTAAAGCATACAATTCTAGCTATAAAAATGAAGGTAATTAATAAGAGATGGTTTTAAAAACCAACATTTTTATTGCCACATTGAGATGAGTGATACAGGACTGGAACTATTGTTTGAAAATAAGATCCAATAGCTTGAATAAGATGCCAAGACTATAAATATTGATGTGTTTATTTTTAGATTCTTTATTTGTAGCAAAGAAAGCAAGTTGAAATGAGAACCAAATTATATTCATATTTATTAATAAGAAGATAGTATCAATATTTTAAAATATTTTGAGATAGGATTTTATCATCCTCTTACTTTTTTTCTTGTCCTGTTCATTATATGACAATCAAGATCAATAATGATTAAGAGCATTGACAGCGTAGTTATATTTAGCTCAAAATTTCAATCTTTTTCTGTAGATATCTAACTTTTGAAGGAATTATCTATATGTACATTTTTCTCTAGGTTATCATATTTTCCTCTATTATTAACAATACATTTTTCATCTGTTAACAAAACATTTAAAGGTTATCAAAATGTTTCTTATAAATTATTTATGCTATTGTAAGTTTTGACAACTCTACATTTAACTAAAACTTTTTTTCTATGAAATTTCTTATGTTGTGAAAATTTCCTTTTTTTATAAAAGCTCTACCTTTTCATTCTCATCTTATGCCCAATGAAAAATGAGTCCCTCATATTTCTGTTATCAGTATTAATTAGAAAATATTACTAAGGGAATTATATATTATATTAAGGACATAAGTGACATAAGTTTAAATCAATGTTTACTTTAGAGAACTCAGTGACTGAATTTTTAAATGCCTACAACAATGCCATCGTAAGACTGCAATCAGTCAAGAACAGTTTGTTTCAAAGGGGCAGAGAGTGAAATTGGAGAGAAAATGGGCTTATCCTAATGGTATTACAAATATGTCAGTGCAATGAAAAAAATAAAATGAATAGCCCGGCCAGAGTGGCTCAGTGGTTGAGCATTGACCCATGCACCAAGAGGTCGCCAGTTTGATTCCTGTTCAGGACACATGACCAGGTTGTGGGCCTGATCCCCAGTGGGGGGCATGCAGGGGCAGCCAATCAGTTCTCTCTCATCGATGTTTCTCTCTCTCTCTCCCTCTAACTCTCCCCCTCTCTAATATCAATAAAAGAAAAATAAGAAAAATAAGAAAAAATAAATAAAGTGAATAATAAATTCAAAAAACTTAGACAGACTAGCCCCACCTTGAGGGATAACCTAGAGATAAAATTAAGAAGGGGATTTTAATAGTAAATGAAATTATGAGAGGAAAAGAGTTACTCCTGAACCTGCCTATTGAAGAGTACATGGGTAAGGCACCAATTTATTATTTCATCCTTACATGTAGATAATGGATCACATATCTGCTCACATAGTAACATATCTACCCTCTGCCTAGTTTCTTATAAGCAACCTTGAACCAAAGATGAGATATGTGTCTTACTTAACTATGCAGAAACCTACAGTAGATTAGAGAACTACTTAGAGAGCTCTTATTTCCTCTCTCAAACCTCTCATTTTTAAGGTTTAACTTCCCCAATGTCTTAAACTAACACTCAATTAAAAATGGCTCCAAACATCTGCATATAGCCCTGAGCTCTTTTCTTCTCAGGTCCATCTTGGCTTTTAACTGCCTTTGTTAAAATCCATAAATTGTATGTCCACTAACTTCTCAAGCTTGTTCTGTACTGGGAAAAAAAATGCCACACTTTCCATAGAACTACTTTTTTTTCAATTCCTTTTTCTCTATTTTTATTTAGAATTCCCACTTGACCTCCAGTTATTGAAAGCAGCCTCCTTATTTTCTACCTTCTACTCAGAGCCAATGTTGCAGATTCTTCTTTGGTAATCCTCTGGGAATACTTCTTTCCATTACTGTAGCCACTGTGCTTATAAAGGACATCATTCCCTTTGCAACACCTACTTTAATAGACTTCAAACTGGTCTTGCTACCTCTTTTTTCACTGAAGTCCATGACTAATCTGAGAAAAGCCCCAATTATATCACTTGCATGCTCAATTAAATTTGGGGACTTTCTTTTTGTATGCCAGATTAATTATAAAGTTATTAAGCTGGAATTTAACCCCTCCACAAATCCCCAGTCTGTGTTCCAGCATTGCCACCCTGTCACTATTCTCTACATGAATCATACACTCAAGAACAAATTAACTTCTGTTGTTTCTCCAAAATGTTATTATTGTTGTTTCCGGTCTTTTTACTCAAATTTATTTTACTGTTACTCTGTCTCCCCCACTAAGATGTAATAATTATACTTATTATTATAACATTAATAAGTTATAGGAATGAAACCTGCAAACAGCTAAGGATCTAGACTCCTGAAACATAAATATAACACAAAGATCTCCCTAGGATATCATGAAATGTCCCACAGAAAACTCTGGACAATGTCATACAAGTTATTTTCCTCCAGGAGTTGCTTAAAAGTTAGGTATTTCTATATGCCTACGAGTATGCCTTGTAATAGAATAGTTTCCTGGAAAGAAACACACACAATCCTTCTTCATTCGTTTTTTTTTTTTTTAACATAAAACTAAATTAATAAACTAATGACAATAGAAAATCTATACTCCATAAATAGTTGTTTTCAAATGAACTCAAAGTTAAAATTCAGATAATTATGTTTAGAAACTAAGCTAAAAGAACAAAGACTATAAATTTAAGTATAGATATTTCTAGTCTCTCACAGATATAAAGAGATAATTTACATCTATACAAGACTGAATTATTCTATCAAAAAATAAAAATAATCCTTTTCCATCAACTGATGTCTTTTTATACAGCTTTCAGAGAGATATATCAATTGGCTGCCTCCTGCACGCCCCCTAATGAGGAACTAGCCTGCAACCCAGGCTTGTGCCCTGATCAGGAATCAAACCAGGACGTGTCAGTCTATGGGACCATGCTCAATCCAGTGAGCCACACCAGCCGCTAGAAAAGAAACTTTGAACATGTATGCACTAGTTTCCAGAGGAAAAATCAGGTTAGAGTAAGAACTGGGTTTAACATTTACTAACATTTAATATGGATAGCATTATATAAGTATAGTATATTCATTCCCCTATACGGTGTTTCTTGGACTCAATTTTTATTGGCTAAAAGTGAGAATTTAAAGTTTAAGAAGAGAGAAAAACAAGCAAATGAAGCAGCCCAAATGGTCAGGGTCAGTTATCAAAATGAACCAAGATCACTAAAACAAAGGAGGCTGTGTGTGTGTGTGTGTGTGTGTGTGTGTGTGTGTGTGTGTGTTTGTGTGTTTTGGGGTGGGGTAGGGTGGGGGGGTGATCAGCTCAGCCTGACTTTATCTAGTCCTGTGGCTAGTAAAGCTGTGGAGATAGCCATGTTTTAAGTGGATGCCTTTTTGAAGTAGGTGCCCCAGCAACCAAAGCTTGTCACTTGCATTACAAAGAGACAAGCCAAAGATCATGGCTTATCCTACAACAAACCTTGCAAATTTTATTTTGTTGAGTACTGGGTAGTTTTGTAATTTACAAATAATCTTCAGCCTTGTTCTGGGAAATGGTTATTTGGAAACAGTTTGATTTTATTGAATCTAAGACAATTTTAAAATTTTATTTTATGTTATTTGTCTTTGAACAATTCCTGGAATATTGTCTAGTTTATGGAGGTTTTCTCATTTTCTCAGATTTGAATTTACATGTAGTTATCTTATAGATTATTTATAATTTTCACATATAAGATAGTGTCTTTTTTGTTATTCTAAGTATTTTGTATATATGGGTTTTAAATTGACCTAAAGAATTTCTGTTCATGTACAAGTTTTTGTTCTGGTTTCTATAACTTCCAACAGTTAGAAAAAGATGATGAGTAGATGTCTAAACTAAATTGTTCCATAGATACATAGAGGATAAACTTGTTTTATAGGTTTAGTGAAGTGTCAACTCTTGTTGTTCTGGTTCTCCAGCCACACAGCTTACTTCCCTGGGGGCAGCTGTGGTGATGACTGTAGGCTGGACTTAGCTAGTTTTACAGTTTCTGAAATAAATCTAGAATATCCCAGAATAGTTGCTGGTCCTTATACCAAACTTTGGATTAATTTTCAAAGTGTACAGACTATTGAGTTCACTAGATCTTATGCACAGTTCATTCAATACTAGATTGTATCTATATTATATTTCTAGCCACTATGCATATCTAGTTTGCCACTATTTTCACCAATAAAAACAAAAATTTTCAGCATTCACTTAGCTAATTAAAAAACCCACAATGGTGACTGAAATGAAAGGAAACTGATACATTTACAACAGTTACTTCTGAATTACAATTTTTAAATCAAACTATACCTAAGCATCTCATAAATATATCTTGATTAAGGCAAATACAAAAGTATCTTATACATTCGCTGTCCTCCCACACATATTCACATTACACTCTCTAAGTTGAAGTATGTTATATTACAAATCACATTCACGTGTATTTTCCTATTTTTTTCAACAGTCTTACTAGATATTTTTGTTGGACAGATTTAGTTTTTATTTTTTTTTAATTAATTTTACTAATGTTTCAAATAGCCAGTGTGTGTGTATACATACATACATATACACACACACATATATATATACACACATATATATTTTCAATTTAAAGCATTCACTGTTTATTAACTCACCAGATTACAAAAAATAATCATGGTAGATACCTTAGTTCATTCTCCTAATAAGCCTGTTGATCTGGTCTTCCCTGTTACCAGCATCTCTACCTTCTACAAAACAGGTGGTCTTCTTCACTCCACCTCTTGGAGAAGATAATTTGAAGGGCCACAGGAAGTTGTTTGCTTCTTTGAAGTGTTTTCCAATAGTATAGTTCTCATGAATCAGACCCTCCAAGCAGATGATGCCACATTTACCAGGAGATAGAGCAATCAATGAGTTATCTGTCAGGGCAATTCGTTTCTTGTTGATTTTTCCATAACCATGCTTATAGATCAATTCATTTACTGCCTTCGGGTTTGGGTTCCCCCATGCAACCTGTGGTTCTACAATCCTTAGCATGTTAATTGAAGCCTCGTTGAGCTTAACAAAGATGCCCTTGAAGATCTGGCAAAGGCGAGGAAGCTGCAGTACTGTTCGGACCTTTGGGCTCACACCACTGATACCCCCGATCCTGATGACAAATACCAATTTGGGTTCCGAGGGTATATAGAAGTTGCCAGCTTTTCTTGCCACCCTAGCCATTCGAATCTCAGCTCTGTACATCTGCCTATGTTCCTTGTGGTAGTTCTTAGCTTCCTCCTTGCCTTTAGAAGCATCTTTTGGGCAAGCTTCTTTCTCAGGCGCTCGATCTTCAGCTTTGCGAAATTCCTTCGCTCTTTCTTGAGGGTTTCTGGTACAGCAGGAATCTTCTTCTCTCCAGCACCCTCCGTGGTTCCAGCTGGAAAAGAGTTTAGATATATTTTTCATTCTTTTTTTTTTTTCCTGTTTCTTTGTTTGCTTTCAATTTCCTAATTATTTTCTGTTTAATAAATTTGTTTCTCCTGTGTATCTTTCTTAATCTTACATTGAATGTTTAATTTCTTTAATTTTATTCTTGCCTGCCTAAATAAGAATATTTTAGTCTTTGTATTTTTCACCAAGCAGTATTTTGTCCATCTCACAAATTTCAAATATATACTGTCTATTACTATTCTGCTTTTTTTACCCCTTTATTGATTTTAGAGAGAGAAGTGAGAGGGAGAGAGAGAGAGAGCAACATTAATGAGAGAGAACATCGATTGGATGCTTCCTGCATGTTCTCCACTGGGGATTGGGCCCACAACCTGGGCATGTGCCCTGACTGGGAATTGAATCAGCGACCTCTTGGTGCATGGGTCGATGCTCAACCACTCAGCCATACTGGCCAGACAGGTTCTTTATAAAACCGATTTTTGGTTTGGAAATTACAAAACTGATCCTTTAACACTTTTACTTTCCTATTATTTATATCTATAAAATGGTTACTTTTCCCTCTTAAAACTTTAATTTGCAAAATTAGTTTTAAGATTTTATCTTATTTTTCTTAATTTTTCTCACTGACATTAGAATGATATCTGGACATTATTTTATTCTCCTGAAAGCCCCCATAGGTGACCACTCCTTGGTACCAGGAACAGTACACTTGCATGCTGTTAGAAGGTCACTTTGGAGCTTAAGCTGCAGATCTGGTTGATGGAAATTTATATCACTAGCTGAACAATGAATTTGATTAATTGGGAAGCATGCCAGAGCCATTGGCAGCTCAAGCGGAATTCATCTCTGTATTTTTCTGTGTCTGATGAAGCTGCTGCTTTCTGTACACGGCTTTTTCCTTAGACCACTCATTTTGCCAACCACTGGCTGGATTAGCTCCTCTCCCCTTCTGGTTGCTCGCACTCTCTGGGTAATCTCCTCATCCTCAAGTCTTCTTGCCGTGTCCACTGTGCTGTCCCTGTGACCTACAAGTTACTCTGTTAACACACTGAAGACTTTGAAAGGAAAGGGTATGTGACATACTGCTTTGTGAACCACGGCTGATGCTTGTCCCAGTCCTCAGCTATACATCTGAAAATGTTAGCGGGATTCTTAAACATGTCTCCCCTTATTGTCCAAGGATGTTACCGTATCTCAGGGAAGAAAGCTCTATGGAGACCCTTAGCATAGTCTGTAATGTCACTCTTGTTTACCACAATACTATTTTGTTTAAGTTTTTCTTGGAACTGGATAACTATATCATCTAGTTTTCAGTATTGGACCAGGCATGTTCTCATTATCATGTCCTGTAAACAAAAATGCTTTACGTCAAGTCATAGAACCCATGTGATAGTAGGTTTGCGTGCATGCTTTATCCATATACCTGAAACACAAAACACCATGTAAAGTAGTTTTTGCTGTTCTTTTACTAGTATTAAAATAATGCAGCCATGTGAAGAGACTTAAAGTATAAAAGAGTGGAAAATGGGAAAAAACAACAACAACAAAAAAACTCCTCATTGTCTTATTTCTACTACCAAAAAAGTATTACTGGTAATGTATGCACATTTGAGTATTAGATATGAAACATTTTAGAATTCTTTATTTGTAAGAGAACTTTATATAAGAAACAGATTTCACTTCTCTTTGTCAATAAAATATAATATTTACATGTCATACATACATGTCTTTCTAACTTTTTTAAATGGCTGTAGTAATTTTATCTCTGTGTTATTTCCATATCAGCATATAAAGGTCAATATCATTCCTGTTACATAACTTCAGAATATTTTATTACAGTACTGTGTTACAGAAATGAAGTTATTTTTTACTATTTAGGGAGATCCTAGTTATTTGTTTTGGTTTTGTTGTTGCTAACAATGATAAAAATTAGCATCTTTGATAGTTTTTCTTTGTCTGTGTAAGAATGATTGAAACTAAGTTAATAAAAGACATTTGAGTTAAAGAGTGATTAATTGATTTGTTATAGTTGGCAAATTGATGTCAAAGTATTACTTAAGTGGAGCCTTCCTGTATTAGTTTTCTATTGCTGCAATAAAATGACCACAAACTGAGGCTTCTAAAATTTTAATATGCTTAAAAAGAGCATTCTTATCCAGAGATTATTTTAAGGTTATTAATCTAGTGCTTTTATTGTTCCATATTTTCACATAAAAATTTCCAATATATCTCAACATTATTTTTAGCTGAAAGAATTAATTTGGTAATGAGATTATGTTTGCTTTATCATTGTAATCTATTATTTTTATAATAATTTTAATTCTATATTTATAATATACTAAATATTCATATATATTTGAATTTATCTGAATTAACTATGCTCTTTAATTGATATTTCTATTTTTATACCACCATCAAAGTGATTTAATTACAGTGGTTTTATAACATGTTTTCATATCTACTAAGGTGCTGCTAGTCAATAAACTTTATTTTTTATTGTTATTCTTTTTTAAATTTCTTTTTTTCTTTGTTGATTTTAGAGAGAGTAAGGGAGAAGGAGAGAGAGAGATAAAAATATCAATGAGAAAGAACATCAATTGGCTGCCTCCTGCATGCACCCCACTGAGGTTTGGGCTCACAACCTGGGCATGTGCCCTGACTGGGAGTTGACCTCTTGGTGCATGAGTCAATGCTCAACCACTGAACCACACTAGCTGGGCTCATTGTTATTCTCAATAGTTCTTCCTGATTAATTTATTGCCATTTATTACACCACAAAAAAATCCTTTTGCTATTTGAATTTAAGTCAATTGATTGACTCATTTGGGAAATAATGTGATTTTAAAATAAATTGGTCAAGAATGATTATTTTGATCACTATTATTTGATGTTGTTTTAGATTTATTATCTTAAAAAGAGAGGATGTTGAGAAGTATATAGTCTTCCTCATTTTTCCAAATATCATAACTCTTTGTAGTTGACAAAATTTTATACCTAGAAAATTCCAGGAGGTTAATTCAGAAACTATCAAAATAATAAATTAACCTAAAATAGCCAGATAACACAAATAATATCAAGAGAAGAATTAGATGCAATTATCCTGTTAAAATAATAATAAGGAGAATTTTCACAGGCAATGACCATGTTTAGTTTCTTATATAGAGTCCATTCTCCATTTTTAATTCCTAATAGAACCTATTTTTATTCTTCAGGCAGCCATCTCTCCTCAGATTCCAGTAGATCAATAGTAATGTAACCAATTCAACACCTCTGGCCAATTAAATGTGAAGCCTGTCTGCTGAGGATCTTCTAAGAAAGAATTTTTTGTCTCCAAAGAAAGAGAAGCATGTGGGCCTAGGCAGATGCTACTTATGCAGTGAGCTTTCTCTAAGCTGAAGAACCCTGAGCTTAAAACCTTCATCTTTTGTAAGGCCCTGCAAGAACTATGCCCAACTGTTGCCCAAGAAGGAGGTACTATATTACCTTAGACAGCAAACAGACATTAATTATGGGAGATATCATCTTTATTTTTTTAAGGTCTTTGCTGTACAAATATTCTTAAAAGGAAAGTACAATACTTGTCTTGTTTGCAAGTCTTGCAGAAATATGAACTACTCATGGAAAGTTGTTTCCTGACATTTTATGAAACAATGTGTAGAAATATATCTCTAACATAAACATCATATAAAAAAGGACTTGATGAATTGACTTATAGTCCATCCAGAATAGCCATGTTCCCCAGAAGACAGATTTATATTTTTCATTGCTCAGCAGATACTTGTTAAATTTTATTATTTATTAATGAGGGTTTGCATTTTTATTAACACTAATATGTTTAAACGTTGGCATAAAATTTTACTCTTACACATAGAAATACCCCCAAAATAAGAAAATTATCTGTTCTAATTTGTTGGCTCTGTAACTCTAAATATGTTCTTAAAATCTTAAGAGCTCTCATGGATTTGTTAGTTCAATTACATTTTTAATGATACATGCTATTCGAATTGACAAGGCTGTTTGAATGTCTTGCTGCATAAAACTAAATTCACAGAGTAATGATAAGAAAATATAGATCTGTTAATATTGGGGTACATTATATGTAGGAATGCACAACAGAGAAAAAGAGAGGTGTTTTCACGATTCAAAAGCAGAAAATTCATATATTGTGTTGTATACAATAATATATAACAGGAAAAAGCAATCACTCTGTTGAATGGCTTGGTACCACTATAAAACACATCTATGCATTTTTTCCCCTTCAACTATGGTTTGGAGTCATATCTGATTCATGAAAGGAACAGCTAACCATTTATAAAATAAATGAAGTCCAACAGAATCCCAAATGACTATTATTAGCAAGTTGATGGCATTGTTAATATAATACATGATAATATGTTATCAATGATACATTTTAGAATCTTTAAATCCCCCCAAATTAGAAACTATCAGCAAAACACACATCTTTTTTTTTTTTCCTTTTTAATCTATTTTATGTATCACTCAGTTATTTGAATCCTAGAGACAAGATTCATATAAGGAACCTGGTGCTGTAGCAGAGTATGGAGAACTGTAAAAATTATATCCAACCTTTCACAAAGCTCAAGTCAGACAGAGGACAACACATTGTGTGGCGATGACAAAATTCAGGGCTGTGGAGCAATATCTGTTCTAAAGCAGTGGTCCTCAAGCACCAGCCGGGGCTTAGTCTCTTTTAATTGCAAGAAATTTATAGTTGGAAAAATGACCAGAAAAATAATTGATAACAAAAATAATTATAAATTAGATAAATGTTATGTATGATAAATAAATAATATAGGACAATAATAGATAAAAAATGGGGAGTTACTTTAATGCAATGTCCATGTAAGGGCATGCAAGTTCTCTCCATGAAAAAAATTTTTGGCCCTGGCCGGTTTGGCTCAGCAGTTGGAGCATCGGCCAAAGGACCTAAGAGTCGCAAGTTCGATTCCAGGTAAGGGCACATAACTTGGTTGGTTGGGATTCATCCCCAGCCCTGGTTGGGTCACACGGGAGGCAACCAGTCTATGTGTTCCCCTCACGGCGATGTTTCTCTCTCTCACCATCTCCTTCTCTCCTTCCCACTCTATCTGAAGATCAATGGAAAATTATCTCAGGTGAGGATTAAAAAACAAAAACAAAACTCATCTGAAACAAGTCTAAATAAGAAAAAAAACTAAAACAAAGATAAAATATGTAGAATAAAATTGAGATGATAGATTTTAACTTAATCATGGTAATTATCATATATATGATTAAACATTGCAATTAAATATCAGAGAATGTAATAATAGATTAAAATACAAGACCTTATTATGTGCTGCCTATAAGAAATATACTTGCAGTATTCAGATACAAATAGGTTGAAATTTTAAAATAGAAAAATACATATTATACAAATACTAAACAAAAATGCTGAGGTCCACAAGAAAAAAGAGATGAGTGAAACATGATTTGTTGACAAATAAATCACTAGCTGTAGGGCACTGAGTTAATTGTTTCACTTTTGCACAGTGACCTTATCTGAACACTGAAGCTCTAATGCTTAGTCTACAAAATTGTCACAAGTCTTAAATGATATATGTAAAGACATTTAAACATTTTTAAAGTTCCATTACAAGTGCAATAATAGAAGAGAGTGATTGGCAACATCTCTGCCAGTTTAGAGGCTACTTAATAGTCCAAGGGAAAGAGAAGGAAGGCCAGAATTAATGATAATAACAATATAGATAATTTGATGGATGTGGGCAACAATTCAGGGATAGTATGAATCAAATATGAGGGCTAATTAGATAAGTAAAAGTCATAGGAGAAGGAACGGTACACGTGACTAAACTTTGGACTCATATGTTGATGATAGCAGAGCCAAGAAACACTGAAATGAGCTCTAGTTTGAACATTAGTGCAACATTAATAGGACATGTTTAGGATAAAATAAAAAAAAACAGGTTGGAGGCTAAAATAATACAAGAGGCAAACTCCTGAATTGCACATACTCCCACCCCCAATTTCCTGCTCTAGTCCCTGGGAACATAACTCTGATGAGATAACTCCAGTTCTGTTGTTTCCAACAAAAGGATATCAAAGATTTAAGTAAGGTTCCCATTAGTCAACTTTGAGGTTATCAAAAGAAGATTGGAAGTGATCTTAAGCGAATCACAGGAACCTTATAAGCAGAGTTTTATCTGACAGATTCAAAGCATAAGTAGGACTAGAGGCACTGTTGCTGGCTTTGATGCACAGTTGCTGACTGTTGATTGAAGAGGCCAAGCGCAAGAACTAGAAAGGAATTTATATGAACTGAGAACAACCTCCAAGCAAAAGCTAGCAGGACACAGGAAACTTCATCCTAAAAGAACGAGAAACTGGATTCTTTCGTGCACTTAAATGAGCTAGAAGATAATTCTCAGGAACCTTCTGATGACATCCAAGTCCAACCAACATCTTAATT